CTCAAAAAAAAAAAAAAATGCCGTAACCTCTAAACTTCAAGTAAAATATATCACATCGTTATATATTCTATCACGTCAACTTTCTATTAAAAAGTTAATAAATATTTGTTCAATGAGTATTTTTTAAATGTCTATAAAAACCAAGGACAATCTTTATTTTTTAAATAAATGATAGAGTTTATGATATATATTAACAAGAAAAAATTTAACTTCTGTGATTTTAAAACTTTTAATTTGATTATATTTCACAAATTATCTAGGTCATCTTTACCCATTTGGAACTAATGATATTCTCTATCAACTTTTACCCTAAGTCGTGAAATTAATGAACAAATTATAATGCACCAAATAATTGTCAAAAATTGAGGAAAAAAATGTTACATATTGAAAATATAGTAAAACACAAGAATTATAGGTTAAATTTAACAAAATTATAGAGATAAAAATTGAAATTTGTAAAATCATAATCATCAAATTATAACTAAATTCAAGCCACGAGTTTCATGGACTAATTTCATAATGTAACCGATGATATTCTCGTCTAAATTTTGTACAGTAAACGTTAAAATTAAAATTCCCACGCGAAGTCTGAGATTAATGTAGAAAGTCCATTGTTTAAAAAAAAATTATATATAGAAAGTCTAAGAGCTTAGAATCAAAATAAAATATTTAGAAATATCAAAAGAAAACAAATCTAGAAGTGAAAAGTTTTAGCCAATAAAGTATTTATTAGCAAAGTATAAAAATAATAAGAAAAATCTGAAGATATTTTAAAAGGTGGAGAAATGGGACCAGTCTCGAAAGCTTCAATTCCAAGTTCCAACCGCCTTCCCCTCAGCAATGGCGGCGAGATAAAGATTACGAACCATCAAATTCGCCATGGTAATCGCCGATTGCTCATCCTCTCCAAAAACCTTCTCCACAAACCCCTCTTGGCCCTCGAGCTTCGAATTTATGGTGCAGACCGACGGGCTCGGAGGCGGAGCGCATTGGAAAACAAGGAAGAAGAAGAAGCCGGAGAATGTCTCAGATGAACGGAGACTAGAAAATGGAAGCGAAAATGTCCTTCTCCAAGATCCTCTGCAGGTGTTAGGTCCTGATCTGTTGATGGCGATACTGGGCTACGTTGACGCACGCAGCGTGGCACTCTCTCTCCTCGTCTCTCGCTCCTGGTATGCCGTCGCTTCCAGTGATCGTTTATGGAGTTCGAAGGTAAGGATCTTCACTGCATTAATTTACTGATGTTTTGGTTCGATTCTCTGAAACCGGATTTCGATATTTCATCTTTTGTTAATTCTAGTAATTGTTCGCCCTTTGAAAATTGAGTCACTCGTTTTTGCGTTTTGAAGTTCGTTTCATTCGTTGGAGTCCTGGGATTCTGTGGTTTTCAATTCTGTTTTATCTTATGCATATAGTTTCCCCCATTGCGGATTTTAATCTTAAATTTATGTAGCCTGCGTCTTAATCTGCTGATTCAGCCTTTCCTACATTGATGGACCATCACTAATTGCAGTTAGTAGACTAGCTGGATTTCTCTCATTCATTTCAATTGTTTCTCCGGTTGTTGAAAATTTTATATCCAATCCATTCCCTTCTTTTAGAATGAGTTGGAATGATTTTGGGAGTCGGGTAAAAGTAGTTTTAGACCATTAAAGAAAATAACTTTTGTAATGTTTGCTAGATAATAAAAATAATTTGAAAATTCTAAAAAACAATAGGAACATTTTAAGTGTTTGAAGATAAGCACTTCTCCAAAATTACTTTGGGAGAAGTGCTTTTAGAAAGCACTTTCTTACATTCTTTACTGTATAATCGAACATTTGGTAAGCAAGTTTATTGTATTTCCTCATAGTGCGTGGAACTGTGGCTTGGGAAAGCACATATTCCTAGATTGGCGTACATCCAAGGTCTACCGTACCTGGCTGCCTATTCATTATCCGTCATGGATGGCAAACGTGTTAGTCTCCCTCCACCCTCAAACTATAGTTGCAGGAAGTGTGCGCTCTGATATATGTAACTCCATGTATGGTTATGTGAACTCAGTTGGGATGACCAAGTGCATCTACTGATTCTCGTCGTGAATTATATAGAAAACATGTGTACTCCTAAACATGGGATATTGAGCAGCATGTATTATTTGGATATCATTTTAATGGGTTAAATTTCTTATTTCAGACTCGCATTATGAGGGAGGACTTGTGTGATCATGCTTGGCAATTTCACTTCAATAAGGTAAGCTGTTCTTTTATGCAGCAAATAATAAGCACCATCACGTATTGAACTTGATATCATGGACCTGGTTTAGCAGAGAAGCATATTGAAGTCATAAATTAGCTCGATGAAATTATATTAATGTTTTATGATTGATCAAATCTGATTCTAAACATTTGAACTCCTTTTGTTTGTAAGTTTGTAACTGACATGAATGTGTTGTCAATCTTTTCTACTCCACTTTTAGGCATCTTAAAAAGATTCACGCTATCTACATCTAACTTTTTCCTCGTATTTAGTTGCACACAAACTATTGATGGCTGGTGATGGATGTTTTGGAAATACGAATTTCATGAATGATGCTCACAATTTTAATGGCCATGATAGTGGTTATGTTATTGACCATCTTACATGTGCAAAAACGATTTGTAACATCTCGGAAGCAGAGGCACTTTTGTTTGAATAATGTCTATGCTGACAATTTTGATAGTCATAGTAGTGACTTAGAGGAATATCTCAAAAAGTGTCTGGTGCCTGAGTACCTTTTTACTAGTACAATTGCATGGTTCAATAACATATTATGCTCTAGCTTCCTGCAAGTGAATCTCAAGTTAATGTGCAACTGAAAAAAGATCCACATCCAAATCTTGAAGGCACCTCTCTGATGGGGCAAATTTGATTCATAAAATATTTGTTCCCTCAGGAAGCTCCTGTATACTGGCGAGATCTTGATCCGTACTGGCAAGGCAGCCGCCCTCTCATGCGCCGTTATTTCCATCCCGACGGGAGCCAAACTGCAGATCCTGATGACAGAGTATGGGGTGGCCATGAATGCTGCTTTTCCGTTGTTACCAGTTTTGCTGGTGATGATGGTAAGATCAGAGAACACTACGTGAGGATAAACAGATGGCCAAGAATGTTAGTGTCAAGGAACGAAGATTGGAGCTGGAAGCTGTCGAATCAGCTCGCCTCATACTCGAGCATCGCCGATGCTGACAAGGATGGCGGGACAGGGCCACTTTAATATTGAGAGAACGCGATCCAATCAAATTAGTTAGTTTCTTCTGTTGAGTGGAATTAGCCAAACTGGTGTTTATGGAGATGCTTGTTTGGTCTTTCCAGTGTATAGATATAGAATCTTTTGGAAGTTATAGGAGTTGTATTTTTTTGTTTTAACTAAGTGGGAATTGTTGAAGAATTCCGAACACCAAATCGACGGTGCCCATGTTGTCTCCGGTCAAAAATTTGTTGGCATGGAGGCGCTGCTCTGCCATGCCTTTTCTCTCGCTCTTCGCACTTCCCCTTGCCGATAACTTGGTCACCGGTGGTGGTGGGTGCTTCTGTAACGCACAAAAAACATCATTTGTATACTATCAGCATCTACTACTGTACTAATATCAAAGGGTCGAGTACACGTAAATGTCTAATATCTACAAAATTTACACTTTTGGTCAATTGTTTTTGGTCGGTTGAGAAATAAATATATTTTTAAATTACCAAATTACTCATGTATGTATATATTTTATTAAAAAAAAATCCTACGATTAACCCTTCAAAGGAAATATGGAATCATAAATAAAAAAAACTCCCAAATCGTGGAATCCCCAAATCTGTATCGAATCGTGGAATGGGGGGAGAATTATGGGAAAAATTCGAATGGCTGCTGCACGGAAATACATTTGAATATGGGAAATAATTTTGAAAAATTTGAATCCATACTAAAGGTAGGAAATTCAAATACAAGATAAATCTCATTCAATTAAAAGATTTAGTATTTCATATAAATATTTATCTTAATTAACAAATTACGGAGAAGGAATAACCGTTGGACACAAATAAAATTATTGGGTTACTCCAATGGTTCTAAAGCCCACTTCAAACCTCACGAGTTGTACATTTTCTGGCAGAAACTTGATCAACCCTACTGGGATGAGGGAAGGGGGAAAAGGGGGCTTATTAGGCTAATGATTTGGAGCTATACTGCCTAATAGATATTCCACAATTACCAAACTTTTGTGGCCACTAAAAACAGACAGCATTAAACCAAAAAACAGTATTTACAATGATTGCAAGTAATTTAAGGACTAACTGAGCAGGATCTGCAGAAGCTTTCATATAAATTGAGGCAGCAGGCAGACTCCTGATCTGGTACCTGTATTATCTGCCTTTTCGGCGATTTTTCGAGCCAGCACAATCTGAACAGTACCATTTTCCTTTTGGCTGTTCTTTGAGACCAACGCAGCCGAAATGGAACCATTCGATCTTGCACTGTATGGAAGGGGAGACTGGCTCAGCTTTAAGGCTCAAAACACCAAAAGAGAAAATTGAACTGGAGAGGGAAAAGATTTGGCACATACGTTTGGGTTGTCACAGGCAACCATCTCGCCGTAACTAACTTGGTTGCAAAGACAGTAAGTTGGTTCATTTGGATCAACGGGTAATTCTAGTTCCATTCCTGTGGGAGTTGCAGCAGTTGATAATTCTCCTGCAGCAGCCGCAGCCTGGCCACGACGTGTTCTGTAGAAAACAGTTCTTGTTATAGATGATTTCCTCAATCTCTTGCCAACATGCATACAATAAATGTTTCTGTTACTAAGCTACAATTTCAGGGAAAATAGAAGGCACTGAAACAAAATAAAAAAAAAAAGGGAAACACAAAGGGTTAATGAGGAATATTGGTGTCTAAAATTGATGGTCCATATAAAAAGGAATTAATAAGAAGGCCAATTACATGAGGTTTTCCTCATTCTTTATATCAAAAAGATGTTCCTATAGCACTACTAGTTCCTAATTCATCTCAAATATTAAGGGCCATTGGTATCTTTTGTCAGTTATTAGTTTCAACATTAATCATGTGATATATAATACAAATATGCAAGTATCTAGAAAATTATCATACTTTTTACGCCCTCTACCACCTTCCATTCCCCTTCCAGATTTTGTGCTACCATCCACACTTGAAGCTGGTAACCCAGTTGCAGCAGCACTTTCTCTTTCTGCAAATAACCATGATATATAGAAGATGAGAGTTGGACCCAAACTGAAAGGAGAAATGCAATTATATTCCATATGCACAGGAGCACATAGGACCCTTAGAATTAAGAACACCAAAGGTGGAAATGTATGTGATACCATGTCGAAGCTTTTCATCGAAATTCTTCAAATACTGGTCAAGCTGTTGTATGTGGGTATCTACCTGAAGCACAGTAATCATAAACAGAGTAGGTAAGAATATAAACAACGAGAAGGGTCTGTCCCTTTCTGGCCAAACAAAAAAGGAAAGCATAAGAACATCGATAGTTCTAGATAATAAAAAAAAAGTTCTTCGAAGTTGTGCTAATGGTACAATAGGGGTATGTATGAGTGGTGACAACGGTAAACATGAACTTCATCAAGACGAGTTTCTCCAAGCATGTTTGAAGGGATAAGGGCATAAGTGCAATAATTTTAAAAGCCCTCAGTACATGCATTATACATGGTACACCCTACTTGCATTTTGTACAACAGTAAACTATTTTTTTCCTTTTCTTATATTGATTTGAATCATGCGAAGCAGACGATTAGTGTCCTGATTGTTATAGTAAAGTGGAGGGAGCCTCAGTTCAAAGCCACCCACACAGTTGATTCGTACAAAATGGAAAAAATTAACACCACTAAAACAAGTTCCCCTGAACTTCCACATACCAAATCATATGCCTGAACAGCAAGGGCAACCTTTTCATCGGCAATTCTAATGCTATGTTTCTGCTCATCAAGTGCTTCATCAGAGAATCTGATAAGTGAAGTATCAGGAGTAATGTTTCCACATTTAACTCCCCGCTTAATATCCTCGATTTCTTGTTCACAGCGTTGCTCATTCTGTTTAACTAGCCCTGTATTCACAGAAATAGCAATGCTATTGAAAAGTCGACAGAGGAAAACAGATGTAAAACCATAGAGTATAATAACAATGACAAGGATGCCATCAAATTTACTTTTATTTTCTAAACATCAGTCAAGATGAGCTTAAAGACGCTCACAATCTTGGGGTATTTCCATGTCCATCCAACATTGGCAACATCCACAAAAACGAAAAAAACAAAGAAAGAAAAACCAAAAAGGAAAAAGAGAGAGAAAAGAATAATAAAGTACTGCAGCCATTGTAAAAAACTAATTCTATGTTGACGATTGAAAGAAGAAGCATACCTTGCAAACTTTGATCTAGATCACGCAGCAAAGCATACTTCTTTTGAATAATGTTGGGTAATGATTCCAGGTCTGTGGAAAAGTACAAAATGAAGATGTAAAATACAAAAACTGAATAGGTTGGGCTCTGGGCGACCCATTTGAATGATAGTTGCTTTCGACTCTTTGATATTTTTTCTCCTCTATTTACTTTTTCATATCACTGTAACCTTATCGTTAACTTTTTCTAAATCAGTTTTCTCAGAGGGCGAAAAAATGAAAATTTTCAACATCATGCGCATACAGAAAACTACAGAAAGATTACAATTCTAAAAACAGGAAAGAAAGCAGTGACTAAAGAGCAAGAACAGGGCACATCACGATATAATAGCAAAAAAATATCAGTACAAATTGAACGGATAAAAAGAAAGAGAGAAAACAGATATGTTCAACGTCCAGGTTAAATATACTAATATACTGAAAGCGAAAGAAACAAGGAAGAGAAAATTGTAAAGCTTGAACAGATTACAGCAATTAACGACTAACAGAAAATCTAAATAGGGTTTGAACGCTAATCAAACCTACGTAATTGCAGCAAAAGAAAAGAGGCGAGATGACAGAACGTACTGGCTTGAAATTCTTCGAGGAAAGACATGTGAGGAAAATTGTGGTGAATTCAATGGTTTTAAATCCGGAAAAGGAAAAAATATGTCAGTGAATTTTGGCGGATTTCCCATCCCCGAATCTTCCCGCCATTGATGCAACGACCACCAAGCCCTAGAACTCGAACGGTTTTATACTAATTGACGGATTTGCCCTTCAGAATTCTTCTATAACTTTTTAGTGTTGGGCTGGGCTAACGCTCCTCCGACCCACTCAGCCAAGGCCCAATACCAAAGCCCTCACACACACACATATATAGGAGAAATTGCATAATTTAGATCAAATATTTGAAAAAAATTGTAGCTAACAAAAAAAAAATTGCAAAAATTGCAAAATTATAATATAGATAGATCGGTATAATTACTAATTAATGTCTAAATAAATTAATGATAACTCTGAATCAAGATAAAGGTAATGTCATATAAAATTAAACATATTTGTTGTAAAAAAAAAAAGTTAATGTTTATCGTTTTGAAAATTTTGTGAATTTAACAGATATTTAAAAAAAAACATTTTTTGAAATTATTTTGACAAAAAATACATATTTGCAAATATTTAAAAGAAAAAACTACCCATTAAAAAATATAATTTTGTTTTTAATTGGTTCTAACTCTTACTTCAGCCATGCCATGCATGAATTCCTACCAAACTTTTGCCAACCTAATCCGTTAACAATTTCATATGGCATGTTCATATTTCCCCACAATTATTTCACCAACCCAATCTTATCAATAAAGATATTACCTAGACATAATCATCAATTAGGATCTTATTATATTGTATTAATATATGTAAAAAACCGCATATATTAATATTTATTTCAAGACTGCGAACTTGAATTTAGTTTAGAGGTAATTGAGACCTGCCTCTAACCAATAATATATAAATGGGACTTTAATTTTCACGCATGTTCTAGGATTGAACTGCAGAATATTATCTACCGACTTAATTGATATTAGTCAAATTAAATGTACATTTTGACTCTTTTTTTTTCTTCCTATTCTAGACATTTGATAACTCTTTAGCATGAATGATGATGAAACTTTAAAAAGTATATACATAGATCAAAATCAAATTAAGACTAATAAAAGCTCAATAGAAAGCATTTTGTCTTCATATTAATAATTAATTTGGAATTAATAGACGGTGATGCTAATGCCATAGTATTTTGAATTAGTATATAGGAGAGGCGCCAAGCCATTAACCTTGGCCAACGTTCTAGAGAGAAAAAAGAAATAATTTTTATATAAAAGCAGGCCTACACGCTTCAGGAAAGTTGGGGAGGATTTCAGGTAATGTAGTTTAGTCAAAAAATAAGTTGTCATTGCCTTGTTTGTCCATTACCTTCATATTGAATCTTACATCTTTTTTTTTTCAATCTTTCAAATTTATTAGTTTCCTTATGGACTTGGTTTTATATTAGAAAACACAAGAGAAATCAATGGGGTCACTCTTTTTTGGAACAACTTATTTACAGAAATCAAACCAAACCAATTACGTTCCATGAGCTCAAATCTCATTTTTCATAGAGATTATCAGTTAGAACGGCAGGCTGAACTTTTTGCTTACTAGCTGTTTGATGAAAGGGCCAAGCTGGTAAAGCATTGATCGGATTCGGGTTGATTTTACGATGAATCAACGACATAAATTTCGAATGAAAGATGAAGGAAAGTGACTTTTCTTGAACTTGAATGGACCATGTACTTTGGGCTCAAACAGCATGCTTTTGATATTGATGAATACTGGTCAATGAGCTAAATAGTATGTCTTCTTCAAGGGAAAATCTTGTTCACTATTCTAATGCGATGGTTTGGTAAGACTAATGTGATTGATAATATGAATTTCAAAGTTGAAAGGAAAAGTGCTGAAAGGTTTTTTTCATTGCCACAGGGAAAATCATGAGCTTGGCAATGCTGTTTCTTGTGCTGCAAAATGAGGTGAGTTCTTGTTCATTGGAAAAGGACTTTGTCCATTAGAATCTGGTGAGATAGCTTCCTAATTCATGTGACAATATCTCCTCATTATGGCAGCTTCTTTGGTTTTTCCTCAGTGTGAACAGATGGAAAGAAGGAGAGTTGTTTATGGAAATATGCTCATTCAATTATCATCTCATTCAAGAAATCTGTTACTAGAAGATGTTAGAAAAGAGAACTCAAAGATAATGAGCTGTCGGGGAAAAAGGTCAAAAAAGTAGGCCAAAAGTAGAAATAAAATAATGCATAGTCATTGAGAAATGTTGTACTTGTAACTTGTGAAAAGCTCCTACACCATAAGATTTTTTTTATAAGCGAACAACCCAAGTGTTTTTGGATTGTGTTTTTAGAATTTTAATTATTAACCTTTTAAAAATATAGACTTGTTTAAAAGATATATTCAATATTTGGTTGGTTTGAACTATGCAATAAAATAATGATATCAAACAATGATTGTTTTCCAAAGACAAGATTTTGAATGTCTGAAATATAGCCTAGAAAATTAAGGGCTTCTAAAAAAGAAGAAAGATTAAGTGAAAACATATTAAATAACTATTAAAGTTGTTTCTTTATCCTTGTTTTCCTTTTTGTTCTCATAAATGACTTGTTTTTTTGATAAAATGAAGCTATAATTCCTCCCAAAAATATGAAAATGTAAAAAATGATATCAATATGCATAATAATATTAATTTTTACAAGTCTTAGGATTGTAGTTCTTAAAAACAATTTTCCAAATGAGCCCCTTCAAAATCCAATGGCTAGGATCAAATCTTTTTGTAAGATATCGTTCTCCCTTTTTGTTTGCCCGTCTTCTCAGTACACTGCCTGCTTCATTACTTGGTTGCTTTCTTCTTAGTTCCAGCATTTTTAAAAGCCTGCAGCTTTGTATGAGCTGCATGATATGCAGTGGAAGCATCAAGCAGAAGTGTAGCAGGGAGAGGAAATGTGAGTTTCTTAATTTTACCATATGCATTCTTCCTCTTTCTGCTTAGCACCTCGAATTTGTTCATCTCCAATTTGTTTCTTATTCTTCTTCTTTTCTACTGCTGGGGGTTGCGAAATAAGATTTGACTTTGTTCTCACATTTAAGAAGAAAAATGGAAAATTCGTTATATTTTTCTCTGATGCTGGAGGTTTTGATTGAGACGGAATTAGTAGCCATCTTTCTGTTTGACATTGCAGAATGAGTCAAGGGGGTGAAGATAGAGTACATAGGAGACAAGGAAACTCTGAGTTTGTTTCCTGGGAAACTTCAAATGTTGATTATGCTAGTGAAAAGAATAAGTCATTGCAAGTTCGCTACATGTATGGCATTATCTTCCTGTCAACAAATCTAGTTGCTTGGTTTATTCGAGATTATGGGCAAAGGACTATACCTCAGCTACATTGTAAGAGAGCTTTTTGTTCCTCTTTCCAGACTATTTCTTTTACATCTTCTACATCATTACAAATTACTGAAAAGAAGATATTGAAGCTAACAAGTTTGTGGATGTTCTGATTCAGAAGTATTGATTGAAGTATACATGCCATTCATAATCTTTTCTTTCGTGCATTGCTTTCAGTAAATCGTACTGGTCTATTTCGACTGGAAGAATAAGCAACTATGGCTTATGGTTTTTCCTTTTGGTAAACAAATGTCTCTACAGATCTTAAGTCATGTGGAGCAGGAGGACAGGATTGTTTTCACACGCTCGGAGTTCTTCGCGTGAGCTTAGGATGTTTTGTATCTTTTTTTTCCCATCATATTAAAGATTAGAATAATTATTTTCCCTCTCTTAAGGTGGGCTTATTTTTTCTGGAAAAGAGGAAAAATGGTCTTTCCTATGCAGTGAGTTCCTTGCATTGTTACATTGTAACTAGAACAATGGAGTTGACATGTCTCAGCCAACGTGGAACTTATTCTTCATTCGAACACTGTGAATTAAAAAAAAAAAAAAACGAACTTATGGTTTATGACCGCAGCTCTTCATTAGAGAACTGAACTGCTCCTTCCTTATTCCTTACCTTTTTATCCTTTAAGGACCAAATCCTTTACAACAAGTTCAGATATTTTTCTTTCTGATGTTTCTATCTACATCCAGAACAAGAAAATTACACGAACCTCGAAATGCCTGGCATTCTAGATGGTGGAGCTTGAAGTTCATTGTGTTTATTGTTTCAATGGTGGTTCCTTTCTTCTTCCCTCCTGCTCTTATTCAATTATATGGTATGTTCCATTTGTTCAGCATCCAATTTTCCGGAACGCTCATTCTCAATATTTATCCTTAACACAGCAAAGATTCTTGCCCTGACCATTCTATGCAAGCCTCTTTAAAAAAAATTGCAGTGATCCCTATAATGGTCGATACTTCACCATTTACTGAAGAACTGAACTGAAAAATGATTGCATTTTGCTCAAATGATATTAGCTAAAGAGGATCTTTTCCTGTTACAGGTGAACTTGCTCGTGTAGGCGCAGGGTAAGTATTCAGATCCTGCATCTACCGTTTCTAGCTAAATCTCTCGAAACAATTGACATAGTTTCTGTATCTTTATTTCTCACATTATATGCTAGTAACATGGAGACTAGGCATTCGAGGAAGACCATGCATTTATAGATTAAGATGAACTTGCTAATTCTATATGATTATTTCTTAATTGAAAATATGGATGCCTTTTGTTTTCTTTTCATCAATAGGATATTTCTCCTCCTGCAATTGGTAAGTGTTATCCAGTTTATCTCATGGTGGAACAAGTACTGGATGCCTGATGAGAAGACAAAGCAGAGGTATGTTTTCTAGTAACGTACAGCTATGCGGAAACCTTGAATTGATGATATAAACAGCAATATAACACCAATTTCACATTAATTTCATTCATATCCTACAGCTGCTCCCTTGGATTATTCACATCGACGATTTTTTACATAGCTTCTTTCTGTGGGGTTGGCTTAATGTACTCCTTGTATGTTCCAAAAGTGAGATGTGTTCTTAATATATTCTTCATCTCTTGGACTTTGATTCTGCTAATTGTGATGATGGTCGTATCTTTACATTCAAAGGTATGCTCCTCGAAATCACCTTTTTTTTGTTCGAACTAAGAATCTTATTCATATTCAGCTAAATTATCACAGTTTATGGGCAGTTTTTTATTTCAAATGAAAGATTTGACTTACCGGTTAAAGATTTTTGTTTGGAACTTTAAAAGTCAGGTCAATAGAGGTCTGTTGTCATCTGGTATCATGGCTTCATACGTCGTCTTCCTCTGCTGGTCTGCCATTCGAAGGTTTGGGATTTAACACTGTGTTATTGGCTTGCTGCTTTGAAGCTGCATGATGAACCTGCAGCCGGATTGCATAAGATTGTGATCTTTCTAATCCTAGTGGATTGCTTTACAGTGAACCTGCGACAGATAAATGCAGTGCACGGAAACAAGAGAGCGGGAATAGCGATTGGATCACAATTCTTGTGAGAATTTGCAGCCTATCTTTTACTTTCATACTTGTTATTTCATTTGGTTTCTTCACTCAAAAATGAATTTAATATATATTCAATCATGGCTGTAGTGCTTCAAAACGAGTTCGAAAATGTTGAAGATCAAGAAAAGTTGTTTCTTTTTAGGATATCCTGATCTCCCTAACTGATATTTCTGGTTTGTCTGTTGTGTTCTTGTAGAGCTTTCTAATTGCAATATGTGCTGTTGTCATGGCAACCTTCTCAACTGGTATTGATTCACAATCATTTCAGGTTACTCTCTCGACTGCCTATCTAAAAGCTTTATCGTGTTAAAAAATAACAAATTGAGTGTTTGTTTGATAACAATTTTGTTTTGTGATTTTCTTTTAAAAAATAACTTGCTTAGAATTTTTTTGGTTTTGTAATCTACTTTTCTTAAAACCATAGCCAAATTTTTAAAACCAAGAAAAGCAGTTTTGAGAAACTAGTTTTTCTTTTTGAGATTTTGCTAATATTTTAATAATAAACAAAGAAACTGTTAGTAAACTACCATATTGTTTACAACTTGAGAACTAAAAATAAAATCATTATCAAACTGACCCAACCGCTAAAGTATAACTTTCTTGGCACCACTAACATACTTTGTTGGAACTATATTGTACTTCATAAATCTTAGCATAAAACAGTAACAGAACAGAGTGGAAATATTTGAAGTCACCATAGACTGCCCTTTTCTCAAGTTAAAACCAAAATTTACCATAACACTGACTTTCTTCTTCTTCTTCTTCTTCTTCTTTTGATTCTTTCTTTGTTGGCAACTGATGTCCATTTCGGTACCGAGCAGTTTCGCAAGGACAAGGTGAAAGAGGTAGACGATATTCGCTACAAGTATGGTTTTTTCCATCTCATATTCTCCTTAGGGGCCATGTACTTTGCAATGCTCTTCATCAGCTGGAACCTCAACAACTCAGCCACAAAGTAAGAAAACTAAATCAATGTTGCTGTTCCTAAAACTCATCTCTCTGGTCTAGGAGTGTAAATTTAAACCACAGAAAGAAATATGAAAATGAACCAAACTGAGAATACTTTGTTTGATTTGGCTGGTCTGATGTATTCTTAGAACTTTTTGTTGGATTTCAATTCTCTTCCAAATTAGTGAATTGGTATGAACTGAGCCGAGGTACACCCCCTATCCCTCTCCTAATTTATGTGATTGTCATGGTCTTTCAAGTTTGAAGCTCTTATACAGTTGTGAAATGTTTAGGTGGAGCATGGATGTTGGATGGGCAAGTACATGGGTTAAAATCGTTAATGAATGGTTTGCAGCCACAATATACTGTAAGTATAGTCCCATTCAAAACGCTATTTATTGTGTCAATTAGTTGATACATAGTTTAGCAGAACAGATTTAAGAACTGTTTAGAGTTCTGATAAGGTAATTTGAAAAAGTTATTCACAAGCACATGATTTTTGTTCCGAAGGTCAGAAGTTCAGATCTAATGATTTCTAAACTCACCTCCAACGAGAAGAAATGTCGAAGTTACCGTCCCCCAAATGAAAGAAAAAATAAAAAGATGGAGCCGTTAATAATCCCCAACTATTTATGAAATTTTTTTCGTTAAAGTTTGGTTTAGCTTGCACACATCTCGACTAATTTCACGGGACGACCGCCTAACTGTAACCCAATTGTTCTCTTGTTGTTCTGCATTTTGGTTATGCAGTGTGGACATTGATTTCTCCAGTGGTGAGACAGGCAAAGGTCAGGGATCATGAAGAACAAACTGTGCAGGAAGCAAATGATTCATCAATTGCTTGACTTTGAATTTTGGAAGATTTTCTTTCCGTATTCTCATTCATCTCCATCCCATTTTTTCCCCTTTTATAAAAAAAAAAAATTATTTCCTGTCATTGTTATTCTTTTAAGATGAGAAATGGAAAAAGTGTCACAAGATTCAACAGATCCCTTTACTGTGTTGAACTAGAGAAACCCATGTTTTGAAGTAACTAATTAATAATTATGTAAGGCCTGCCATTTTTAATGTTTAATATTTTTTTTTTAATAACAAAACCAAATTAATAAAGGTCACAAATAGAGTATATTTTAATAGTCAGGTAAATATAACTCAATTGATTAAGAAAACTTCCATAAAGATTAGAGGTTCGAGACAAACTTTTAAACAATCATCCTTCGATTTGTTTGAAAACTTTTTAGTGTTTTTAGGTGACTATCTAAAAATATAAATCTGAAAAGAACATATTTAATAAAAAAACAAAGTTGTAATAATAATACATATTTGGTAACGATTTGGAAATTGAATCTCAATTTAAAAAAGTGTTCAAGGTATATTTAATAATATATTTGTAAATTAATGGTAATCACCAATTAAATATTTAGTGAAATCTAAAATATTAACATCCTTCTATATAATTATTATTTTACAATATTATATAATTTATAATTTATAACATATTATTAGTTTATAACATGAAATAAAATAGTTGTTTATTAACATGAAATAGTATCCTGCTCAAAGAAAAAAAAAGTATTATTCAATATTTCATAAAAATTTTAAATTAC